CTCTCTCTCTCTCTCTCGCTCTCTCTCTCTCTCTCTCTCTCTCTCTCTCTCTCTTCATCCATCGAAAGCTTGCACAGGGATAGAGGAACGCTAAGTGCGGGTAAAATTTCCCCCTGTCGATGAAAGTCAACCGTTCGATTCGAATCGATTCGGCCGGATTCAATTTGGCCGTAGCCAAGCCCGATCGTACGGCGACGAATAAAAGAGCCGACTACGTAGACGATGGTGAACGATAAATCATCGCGAGGACGTGAACGCGAGGAGTTGATCGAATTCTTATGAATCGCGCGATTCTTGCCGGAGCTGATACAGATTACTCCGAGCTCCGATCGGATACCGAGTACTTCCACGAGAAACGGGACGCGAGATCCATCGAATCACGGGGCAATCGGGTCCGACGAGTTAGTTGGATATTCGACCTCGTTCCTTTCCCGACGCTCCCTGCCATTTGTCTTCTGCACCCGCGAGGAGACTTCTCTCTGTCTCTCCCTCCCTTTTCTTTTCTCTTTCTATCTTTCTTTCTTTCCTTCTTACGGTCCATCTAGCAGGTTTGCTTTCCTCTGCTTATTCCAAGCTGCACATCCGGCACGAACAAAATCATAAAAGTTTTAGCCTACAACTTGGAGACGCGAGGGCAAGCCCGTGCGCTCGGAAAGAAGCTTTTCGGTGTTAGTCGTTCCGTAACGCTCACAGTCGTTTGTGTTCCCATCTTGTTCTCGTCTATACGGTCTACTCACGTGCTCACCCCTCGATCACCTTACCCCTAAAACGCCTTTGTACGTGTCTGACGTGAGTGTAGAGACACGCGTTACACATTCAAGAATCGAATAGGTGTATATATACGTTGTCCGTGAGAAGTCCGTGGCTCGAGTTCCGTCGGCCATTAGCAGCAGCCGTCGGTCCTGAAAATCAGAAAACTTCCCGAAACTGATTCCATCCGTACCTGCTCGCTCCCCTTCCCTTTCTCTTTCTCTCTCTCTCTCTCTTTCTCTCTTTCTCTCTCGAGCCAATTACTTTCTTCCTCGCGGATTTATCGCACGCCGGCCGATATTAATCGCACCTTCGACGCCGTTCGTTAAGCACCCCTGGCGGAGTTTTTGTTTTTAGCGCAGACGGAAATGGGTTTTTGAGGCGAAAGTGTTAATTCGTTCGTTGAAACATCCACACGATGAAGCGAATGTTCGGTAGAGAACGTGAAGCATTATGACTGCTATAGCGTGATAGTATTTTCTTTTTCTTTCATTTTTTTATGGAAAGTCGACGCGAGGTATTATGAGTGGCCTTCAAGAGTAATTTCAGGATATTCCATCGTGTTCTGTAATTCTGTGCACGAGATAGAGGAAATTGCTGGTAGAGAATCGCTTCGTTGGCTCAATAATTACGAATTAATCGTGCGCTAATTCGTTTAGAGCACCGTTTCGTTGCTCGCTGTTAATTCATCGTTGATTCGCGTATCAGGGGAACGCAATATCAACGAAACGAAGCATGTCGGTTAGGATCGGTAGAAGAAAAAAGCGAATGGAGAAAAATTGGAAAGAAAAAGAAAGTAAGATAGGAACCGTGGAAAGTCTGACGATCGACCTGTTTTACAGAGCGTTTACAATCTGCTGGGGGAAACTCTATCGAGGCTGCAACAGTACGCGGAAGCGGAAAGGTGGTTCCAGGCGAGTTTGGCCAGCCAGCCTGACCACGTGCCGGCCCACATCACTTACGGGAAACTTTTGGCCCGAAACGTAAGTAGTTACCAGTTTTAGATCGGTTCTCTTTCATCAGAGCGCGGATCCAGTTTCCAAGTTTACCGCGGCCCGACCAATATCGTTCAACGGAATTTCGTGTACAGCCACCGAGATACGGCTGCTACACCAGGCGTCAGTGCCCGTACTCGAGATACCGGAACCCCCGTGGAAAAACAGAATGCCTTAGGGAGAATCGGCCAACTTTTCGATCGCCATCGCGTCAAAGAACTCGATCCCATCTTCCCAACACCGTTTCACGCTGTTTGCAAAGTAACGCTCTTCTACGGTGCTGCTCGCAGACCGACAGGTCTCCAACACTTGCAAAAGCTACTTTTTCCTTTGAATCGTGATAAGAAGAGAAAAGTAAAGGAATAAAGAGAGAGAGAGAGAGAGAGAGAAAGTTAGAGTTTGCAGTTAGGCGAGGTTTATGATAGTGTCAGGATTGCACGGATAGTTTTCAAAGCTAATAGCCTTGTAGTTACTTGTCGAATTGACAGAATTACGTAATTGACACACAGCGCTAAATCCGCTCAAATTTGAATGGTTCTTCGAACAAGTAAATTTACATGGCCACGTCCGTATAACTTGTAGTACCGAAGATCTACCCTAACATAGAGAAAGAAAGAAAGAAAGAAGATAAATCATGACGGAGGCTCTTGGCTCGAATATGAAACGATATAAAATAGCATTAGCCGATAACCGGGATTGCAGGCTCTCGCTCAACGAGTCTGGCCACGTAGCGACCCACATCACTTAGCAAACCTTCGACTCGGCACGTAAGTAGTTAGTACTATTTTGGTGCGGCGTAGCGCGGCGCGGCTTGGCGCGCTGGATCGAACACGATAGGCCGACCGAGAATCGGCTGACCCACATCACTTAAAGAGAAACCCGCCGACGGGAAACAGCGTGCCGTTAAGCTGATTCTGCTCGATCCACCGACCGTTCCGTGTTCCGGCCTGGTCAATCGTTGACCGGAAACCGGTATTTCTCCTGAAAACATATCTAACACGACCGACGATTACGCTCACTGAGCCGAGAGAGATTCGGAACGCGCGATGTTTCCTCCTTCCCTGTACGTGTCTCGTTCTCCAAACGAACCATACACAGGGCATTTCCTTTCGCAAACGCGTCGTTGCTTTTGCGATCAATTATCGTTTGTATCGTAAACGCGTGACGGGACTATCGGTCCTTCGTCTTTCCACGTCGCTCCATAATCACTCGATACGATTACGTTATACTAATCGATATAGCTTTGCAATGGTTAGAACGTATTATCAGGGACGCGTAATATAGTTGATCGCTTACCATGATAATATTATCGAATTGCCAATTTTCCATTAGTCCTTTCGTATACTCGAGCTGTCGCTCGCGAAATAACTTCAAATTGATCGGTCGTAAATGAAATAGCTTCACGGCTGATAAAATTTCATTTAATTTGCTGATTTAGTTGCATCTCTGTCGCAATAAAATTATATCACGCCGCGCACGTAAATAACTGCGTCAACAATATGAAACAGAGTCACTTGAACCGAAATTTTTCAATATTTTATTGCCCGGTATCGATCGCAAATTGGACGTGCAAACGATGCCAATCGGAGATAATAGACAGAAAATGGAAATTAGAAACTAGAATTTTTATTCGATCGCTCTCGTTCTCCCTCTGTTTCGTGAAATAAATCACCACTTTCCCTGTTATTTGCTCTCTTGTTCTTGGAATGTTAAATGTTCATTTGCGGAAGTCTCAGTCGGTAAATTACGATGTGTGTCACGTGGCAACCAGAAGGGTCAATGGAAAGTCAATACCGGTAAACGATGCCGAGCGTAATTGAACGTTTGACCGATAAATGTCGGCGTCCTGTCGCGTAGCCGATGAATTTTCGTCCGTGCAGGCTGTGTTGGCTAGGCGAACCGTATCGAAATTCCATTTCCATCTTTTACACTGTTCCCCTCTGTGTGCGAAGCGAAACACCCGCCGACGGGAAACAGCGTGCCGTTAAGCTGATTCTGCTCGATCCACCGACCGTTCCGTGTTCCGGCCTGGTCAATCGTTGACCGGAAACCGGTATTTCTCCTGAAAACATATCTAACACGACCGACGATTACGCTCACTGAGCCGAGAGAGATTCGGAACGCGCGATGTTTCCTCCTTCCCTGTACGTGTCTCGTTCTCCAAACGAACCATACACAGGGCATTTCCTTTCGCAAACGCGTCGTTGCTTTTGCGATCAATTATCGTTTGTATCGTAAACGCGTGACGGGACTATCGGTCCTTCGTCTTTCCACGTCGCTCCATAATCACTCGATACGATTACGTTATACTAATCGATATAGCTTTGCAATGGTTAGAACGTATTATCAGGGACGCGTAATATAGTTGATCGCTTACCATGATAATATTATCGAATTGCCAATTTTCCATTAGTCCTTTCGTATACTCGAGCTGTCGCTCGCGAAATAACTTCAAATTGATCGGTCGTAAATGAAATAGCTTCACGGCTGATAAAATTTCATTTAATTTGCTGATTTAGTTGCATCTCTGTCGCAATAAAATTATATCACGCCGCGCACGTAAATAACTGCGTCAACAATATGAAACAGAGTCACTTGAACCGAAATTTTTCAATATTTTATTGCCCGGTATCGATCGCAAATTGGACGTGCAAACGATGCCAATCGGAGATAATAGACAGAAAATGGAAATTAGAAACTAGAATTTTTATTCGATCGCTCTCGTTCTCCCTCTGTTTCGTGAAATAAATCACCACTTTCCCTGTTATTTGCTCTCTTGTTCTTGGAATGTTAAATGTTCATTTGCGGAAGTCTCAGTCGGTAAATTACGATGTGTGTCACGTGGCAACCAGAAGGGTCAATGGAAAGTCAATACCGGTAAACGATGCCGAGCGTAATTGAACGTTTGACCGATAAATGTCGGCGTCCTGTCGCGTAGCCGATGAATTTTCGTCCGTGCAGGCTGTGTTGGCTAGGCGAACCGTATCGAAATTCCATTTCCATCTTTTACACTGTTCCCCTCTGTGTGCGAAGCGAAACAGAATCCTCTGTTTCTCGTTCTCGTGCCCCTAATCGCGTCAGGATAAATTTCGTTACAACGTGACTCGACGATCCGTGAAGGGTAGACCGCGTCGACAATGGCGGCCCGATCGATCGTTCGATTACTGATTTGCCTTGTTTCTTCCGCAGTCGAGCCGTGTGCTGGAGGCTGAGAGATGGTTCCTGAGAGCCCGTAGATTGGCGCCGGACGACTCGAGCGTGCACCATCATTACGGTACGTATAATTGCCAGTGTCTTTAATTAAAAAGGAATCGTTGAATAATCGAACATCATCAGACAGATTTCTCATCCTTCATCCATCCGCTAGTCTGAAACGTCTGTAGTCTATAGCCATTCGTGAAATAACAAGAGGTACTCGTTAATTATTAAAGCAACGAAACACGAGACCTAAGCGCATCCTCGTCGTTGTCAAGCAAATTGGAGTGGTCTGCGACAGATTCATCCTCTGGCCCGTTGTTCCGCTCGGTATAATTGATTCCTCGACTATACGGTACAACGAGCGAAGACGTTGGTAATCCTCTTCTATGTTGAAACGAGAGAACGAAAAGAAAACAAACCGCGGAGATAGAATAATGTAACGGACGTAACGATAAAGGAGGTTCACGGAGATCTTTTCAAGGAACCGTTTTATAGGGAAGATAAGAAGATCGTAAGATTCCGCCTGGTCGTTCTAAATACCGGTGTAATATTTTCCTGGGGGATGAAAGTAGAAACTGTGGTGGGAAAGTGGGTGGTGGCAACGATGGAGGGCGCTAATCGAAAAAAGAGACGGCCACAAGGGAATAGCGAATATCAGAAGGAAGGCAGCAGCCGGAAGGAGATCGACGGGTATTGAAATTCCAGAAAAGCGTCGCAATTCCTAGTGCTCGTCGCATCGTTCTATTCTCTGTTCACGCTTGCCCTCTGCTCCAACCGCATTCAGACTCTCGTTCTTGGATCTTGGTTTGGCAACATTCTCTTCTCGCTAGTATTTCACCCACCCTTTCAAAAATCTATCCTTTCCATTTGCAAAAGCCGTGAAAGGAGATGGTCACTGGCATCGGTCAGCCGATTCTTTGCGGTCAGGATTAATCTACTCGCCAAAAAGAGTCTCGCGTTGGAGTTGGATTTTTCGAGCGCAAAAACCATCGCGGTTTATCTCTCTTAGCAGCACGCGTCATTAGGCAGTGGTCCACGGAACGTCGCATTATATTATACTTGATATATCACGAGTTGCGTTTATAACGTTCGTCCTCCGCCAAGTCTCGCCGGAATTTTGAGGACAATTCTCCGGTGGCAACCTTGACCTTATGTATACCTTATGCTACTCTCGTGCAACATTCTGTAACGTGTTAAAATATTCACATATATATATGCCTGTGTGTGTGTACGTATGTGTTTGTGTGTATGGAAGATGAATTTTCGTCTTTTGGCGACCGTGTGTTTTAATTAGAAAATAATATATGACGAAAGGATAACAAAGTATATAATTCACACACGTTTATCCCTTGTCACTTGGGAAGAAGCTCATTATTCAGAAGAAGCTACCACTCATTCTTCGTAGTATTAATAACGTTATATCGCGGCCCTCCTTTTGAGGCAGGTTTAATCTAGTCGTATAGACCTCGTTGCTAGAAGGAGACGGAAAGTACCGCTAAGAGCAAATTGTTTCGGACTAATCTTAAGTCGACTTAATGGTTTCAAGGTTGATCAACCTATCCGAGCTGCACCTCATTCTACAGAAGCTCTCCCTCGACTGTCATAGTGTGTCTATCATTAACTGACCTTCATAAGTCCATACTATCTCAATGTACTCACGCATAATCACGCATATCATACACTTGCACGTATTATGACTAAAAACAAAATTGTTAATCCGACTGGGCAAGCTTACAAGCTAGAAACTGTTCCTCTAGAGAGCAAGATTTCGAACGTAACATTGTACGTATAACTTTGAGACGGTCTGTGGCTTTGCAGGACTGTTCTTGACGTCGCAGGGTCGGCTATCGGAGGCGGCAGAGGAGCAACTCCGCGCCGCCGAACTTTCCAGATCCGATTACGAGCTGTCGATGGCGGCGGCGTCCGCGCTGCGCCAAGCGGACCGGCTGGAGGACGCGGAGGTGTGGTACAGGCACGCGGCTACCTTGAGGCCGCACGAGGCGCGAAGTCACACAAACCTCGGCGCGATTCTTCACCTGAACGGGAAATACAAGCAAGCGGCAGCTGCTTACAGCGAGGCGTTGAGGCTGCAGCCGGGCGATGCGACGACCATCATGAACCTGCACAAATTGGCGGCCACTCTCGCGTGACCTCGTCACGAGACCGCGGCGAACACCCAACAGAGAAACAAGTGTGTGTACGATACGACCCCAGGAAAGATCCTCTACCAACTCGCCGTATTTCCTGACCCCACGTCACCCCGATCTTCCTCCCGATATTCGTTTATATCCGTCGACCGGCACGCCAACGTCGCGGGGCGGAAGCCCCCGG